AAAAGGTGATGATGGCGTCGAAAGAGCCATTTATTATCTCAGCAGGGTCTTGAACAATGCAAAAACTAGGTATATCATAGTTGAAAAATTATGTGTGTGTTTGTACTTCTCATTTGTAAAATTTAAGCATTATATAAAACCTGTTGATGTTTCTGTTTCCTCACATTTTGATGTTATAAAGCATATGTTATCGAAACCAAATTTGCATAGTCGATTTGGCAAATGAGCATTAACTTTAACTGAATATTCTTTAACTTATATGCCATTAAAAGATGTTAAAGGGCAAGTAGTGGCAAATTTTATAGTCGGCCATTATATAAATGAAGAATCTTTAAACTACATCAAACTAAAACCTTGAAATTTATACTTTAAAGTTTCGAGTCATAGAGACGGTGCAGGCGTGGGAGTCTTGATTATTTCTGCAAATAAGATTCTAATAAAATTCAAGTACAAAGTTGAAGGTGTCTGTTCGAATAATATGGTTGAGTATGAGGCTCTTATAGCCGGACTTGAAATGTTGTTGGAACTAGGGGCAACTAGAGTCGAAATCATGGGTGACTCAGAGTTGGTCATAAAACAAATCACAAAGGAGTACAAATGTGTGAAGGAAAATCTCATCATGTACTTCGTAATAGCCAATCAACTCTTAAAAAGATTTGAGTTGGTTAGCATTTGACACATTCCTCGAATGGAGAATTAAGTAGTGAATGATCTTGCTCAGATTACCTCTAGGTATAAGATTTCGAAAGAAAAGTTGCAAAGTTAGAGGGAGAGTGGTGCCGGCCAAGCTATCCCCATCAGATCTAGAAACAACAAAGCTAGGGTATCTTAATAAAGAAAACTTCGAGATACTAGCAATAGATAGCTTGACAGACAAAGATTGGAGAAAACCAATAGTGGAATATTTGCAAAAACCAACGTCGTCTACTAAAAGAAAGATCAGGTATCGAGCTTTAAGTTATGTTCTTTTGGGAAATGAATTACTTAAAAAGACTCTTGAGGGAGTATTACTTAAATGTCTTAGTGAATCAGAGGCATATTTAGCCCTGTCTAGTGTCCATAGTGGGGCATGCGGGGCACATCAGGTGGGACATAAGATGAAGTGGTTGCTATTTCGACAAGGAACGTATTGGCCCACCGTGTTGAAAGATTGTATTGAGTTTTCCATATGGTGTTAAGAGTGCCAAGTGCATGCATGCATTCAGTATGTCCCTGTGAGAGAATTACACTTTATAGTCAAACCATGGCCATTTAGAGGCTGGGCTTTAGATCTTGTTGGAGAAATTCGACCAGCATCATCAAAAAGCCAAAGATACATCTTTGTCGATATTGACTATTTTACAAAATGGATTAAAGTTGTACCATTGGTGAACGTGGACCAAGAGGATCTGATCGAATTTATCAAGAAGTACATCATTTACAGGTATGGAATTCCAGAAACCATTACAAGAGACCAAGGATCGGTGTTCACAGATCGAAAGATGCAAGAATTTGCTAAGAAGATGGGTTTCAAATTATTAACATCTACACTCTATTATGCCCAAGCTAATGGCCAATTCGAGGCTAAAAATGAGGTGGTCATTGGTTTAATTAAGAAGCGTGTGGGGAAGAAACCTAGGAACTGGCATAAGACTGTAGACCGTCCTTTGGGCATGTCGAACATCTCCTAAGGAGGTTACTAATACTACTTCATTTCGATTGACATTTGATCACGATGCAGTTTTACTAGTGGAAATCTATTTACAATCGATAAGAATTCAAAGACATCCCAAAATTCCATCAGCGACATATTGAAATATGATGTTGGACGAATTAGTTGATTTAGATGAAGAGAGACGCAATGCTTTGGAGTTATTAAAAAGACAAAAGGAGATAGTAGACAAATCTTATAATAGGAAAGTTAAATTTAAAAGTTTCTTTCCTGAAGATTTGGTTTGGAAAGTAATCCTTCCTATGGATCGAAAAGATAGAACTTTAGGAAAATGGTCCCCTAAATGGGAAGGTTCTTTTCAAATAATTCAAGTATTCCCTAATGGCGCGTATGAGATCGAAGAGGTAAGCAAAGATAAAAGAACCTTGAGAGTGAATGGAAAGTATTTGAAGAAATACAAGCCTACACTCCAAGAGATAAAGATAGCAAAGGAGTAATCATACAAAAAATAATAATCAAAGCCAACATGGTAAATAAAAGCTTGCCAAAATGGCCAAAATCCTTTACATCAAATGAACTACAAGAGGTTCAAAAATATTACATAATAAATCCCAAATCATGGTAGTAAAAGGGGGACCAAGATTGAACGGGAAGACTAGCTTTCATCTTGAGGTACTTAGCCTTTAGAAGCTCTAACCAGATGTGTCGAATCATACATGGATCAATCAAGTGTCGACTAAATTTATCAAAAAATGTCTTTTTCTTCAGCTATCGAAAATGACATTTTTGGGGGTCAATTTGTTAGCTCCTAAATTTCATTCCTGGTTTTAATTAAAGAAATAATAAAGAGAATTATGTGAAGTGATGATAGTGTTTCGACATGGCTATACTTGTTTGCTTTGGTCGAAACAACCTTTTGTGCGAAGAGGAAATGCTGAATAAGATGTGAAGAAAAAAAATATTTTGAAGATGGTTCGACAGAGATGATATTTCGACGCATGATTTGAATTCAAATAAAGGAGGGAACTTTTGTTCTTATCCAAATTTGTGAAGAAGGACACGCGGAGTTTTCTAAGGAAAGGAGACATGTCGAGCGCCACTTGTCATTTGTTTGTAGTATAACCGTTAGTGTCGGTTATTTTTTATCATTATAAATAGAAGGTTTCAGTGTTAGGATCGGGGTGTTCCAAAATTTGTAAAAGTTTATGAAATTAGTCAAAGTTTTTGCGTGTAGAGAAAAAGAGTATGTCGAAGAAAATGTACGTTTGATTACACAATATTTTTATATTTTAATGCAAATTTCATCTTTTTACCACAAAGTCTATCTCTTTATTATTCAAGTTATTTAATTGTCTTTGATCAAGTTTCTGCACTTTACTTCTTCTAAATTTCGAAGTTTTTAGTGGTTAGATCATGCATAATATTGAAATCTTCATTATTGCCCAAAATTTAAATTAAGAATTGCTAGCACATGTCTTATGATTTGTGTGGTCGATCCTGTACGTAATCAAATTCTTTTTCAATTGGAAAGACCAACGGTTGTTTACTATATTTTCCAGTAAACAGAGAGACACACCACATACTCACCAAAAACCTTAAGGTGATATGTGCGTGGATTATGCCACTTATTAATGCTCAAGTCTCCACATTCCTATCCAATATGGGAGTATTACCCATACTACTCACATTTGTTATAGTTAACAGAGTGTACCTGAGTACACTAAGGATATGCCTCTAGCTACTGCTTTTATCCCGCTCAGAGGAAACCAGGTGACCGATCCTTTTAGAGTCTATCTTGACAGTTTGGTTGTTGAGGACATGCACTTCAACAACTATGTTGATCATCGTCAAACGCCTCCATTTGACGAGATAGTATTATACTCTGGATGGTTGGCCTACGGATCGCGTCTCACTGCTCCTTATCTGTCCGAGCGTGTCATGCGAAAGTTCGGCTACAGTCAGACCATTCTCAGACATCCCTGTTGTCTCTTCTCCTCCTGCCTTGACACATGGAAAGATAGAGGATATGTTTGATGATTATGAGAGTCATTTGGTACCGGAGGAGGTACGAATTACCATAGCTGAGAGCGATTAGAGCTACGTCGAAGAGTACATCAGATGATTCTTCAGGGCGTCACATTCATACATGGTACATGCTGCTCCAGGAGATCCGTCGAGGCCAGCTCATCATGATTCTTCCAATACACAAAATAAAAGTTAAAAAATATTTTAAAAAATGACTACCGAAACTCATTTGCAAAGTCTTCCGATACACAAAAAATGACTACCGAAACTCTTTTGCAAAGTCTTCCAGTACACAAAAAAATTTAAAAATGATTATCAAAAGTCTTTTTCAAAGTCTTCCGATACACAAAAATTAACTACCAGAACTCTTTTGCAAAGTCTTCCGATACACAATTTAAAAAAAAAAAAAAATGACTATCGAAATTCTTTTGCAAAGTCTTCCAGTACACAAAAGAAAAAGTTAAAAAATGCTTGAAAAATGACTACTTAAATTCTTTTCTAAAATCTTCCAATTCGTAAAATAAAATTTAAAAAATAAAATAATAAATTAGTTAAAAATATACAAGGACAAAATTGATATTTTTTATAAAATGTAGGAGTATAAAGATAAAAGTAAGGATACGAGGTAAAATTTTTTAATCTTTATGAAAAATTTAACCCACTTAATCCTTGATGAAATAGATAAAGGCAATTGGGACTGCAAGGAATGGGCTTCGTATATCTTACCTCATGTTCGCGGACAATTTATTGCTATTGGAAAAGCGACAGTCAAGCAAATGCAGATTGTTAGCGATGTTGTAGACAAATTTTGTGGTACCTCTTGGCAAAAGATCAGTTACAATAAATCAAACCTCATTTTTTTGAGCAACGTTGAGTGTAGTTTATGGAAGGAATATACTCAGGTGGCAGGAATTAAAGAATCAAAGAACCTAGGTATGTATTTTGGAGTGCCGATTACTGGTAAAGAAAGTAAAAATCATTTATTTTCGTTTCTCCTTAATCTTGGTGCTCTTTTAATAAAATTTGACATCTCTTAATTTCGCAATATAATTGAGTTTCTCTTTAGAAAAAAATAAAAAATTATATGACTTTTAGTAAAAAACAAAAAGAGAATATTGTGAAGGGAAAGAAAATTCTTTGGCACAGAACTACTGATACATATATTCTAACTATTTATATCTTATCAAAACTCTAAAAGAAACATTAAAATGGTACAAACATTTTTACAACTATACTATACTATAGTCCATACCTAACTTTATATTTGCAATGATAATTAACATCTTTAATATCTTTCTCCTCTATGCACCTATGATGTTAAACTTCAATCTGATTTTTGATCTGCATCTGCTGTGGCTTGAACTTGAGCTGCATACTGTAAGTTCCATAGAACATCCTCAAAAGAAGGACGAGATGAAGATTCTTGAGATATACATTTGGTTGTTATAGATATTGCAATTGATAATGATTCTTGACAACAAGTTGTCAACACTGTTGGATCTACAATCTTTCTTCTTCCATCTTCACTTCCAAAAGATGCCTATCATTCCCAACATGTTCATATAAAACGAGTAAGAACGTAAACAAAATTTGATACTCAAAATTCCTCAGTAACACAGACGCATCTGAAAAAAGGTGTGTCAATTGACACTTGTGATTACTTTCAAGGGTCGTGTCCAGTGCCCGTGTATCTGTGTGCAAAAAATTCATCAACATGTTCATATATGTTTATTAAGTTTTTTACTAACCTTTTCATTTAGGAAATATGTTTCACCTTTGTCGCATGTAATCGGTCCAACAAGTGACTCCAACATTATGAATCCAAAATTGTAAACATCGTTATCCGTTTTTGTCCTTTGACTGCAAGAAAAGTTACTCGATCTATTAAATTAAATACCAATCTACGTAGCACTGACACTTCAAATTGAAAGTGTGTATGATATTCGACACATGTCAGTAGTATCTGAAGAATTAAATTTAAGTTACAATATCATACCATGATTTTGACTTCTTCTCACTCTTTGTCTTTACACAAACATAGAAAGCCATAGAGTCACTCAATGATCAAAATCATATTAGATTATGAAAAATCAAAAACTAAGAAACAACGTTTGATTAATTGATTAAAAACATACCTCAAACTTTTCAATATCTTCTTTGATAATGGACATACCATAGTCACTTAGTTTAGGAATGCAGTGTTCATCAAGTAACACATTCTTTGTTTTCAATCCGTTGTTAAAACATCCCGGTATAACACCGATATGTAAGAAATGAACCGCCTTTGCAACTCCAATCAAAATCGCTAGTCTATCAGGCCACTTAAGTCCTTTCTCTGCAGAATTTTCTGCATCTTTTACGAAACAAGATTAGAAAATTTCAGCTTGAATGTGTCGGGTGCTATCGGCTCTTGGTATAGTACCTAAATTAACCAAAATCACAAAGGCATCCTCAAATGTGTCTTCTAGTAGTCGGTTTGGTTTATCAAAAGACTAACAAAAGATACACTCGAGGATGTTTTAGTAATTTTTATACATTCAGAGACTACACGGACACTACACAGATCCGCTACAATGTCATATCCTAACCTGATAGACGAGTATGATAATCTCCATTTGGCACAAACTCATACACAAGATAAAGTTTTTGTGTGCTCGAATCATCTTGTAGGCCGGCATCAATGCAATGACCCAAAAAACTAACCAAATTCGGATGTTCAAGCTTCGAGAGTAAATCCAACTTAGCTTTAAGATTTTGAATTGAGCATTTCTTTGACAGAACAAATGATCTTATCACCACATAAGATCCATTCTCAAGTTTACCTTTATGCAGCTGAAATAAAAAGCACTTATAATGAGCATACAAAATAAGTTTGATGAATTTTCCCTATGAACCTAAGTACCTTTCCTATGGAGCCATCACCAATACAAGTTAACAGACTAAAGTTTTTGGTAGCTTCCTTCAACTCTCGGATAGAAAATTGTCTACAGGTTGGACTAGTTTGTGTCCCTAGCTTCACTGCTTGAGAAATAAATCCTGAAAGAATAAGCGCTTATCATATACATGTTCATATAAGACTAGTTGTTTTCATATAAGTTGTTTTCATAAGCTATCAGAAGCAGAGCCGTCTTTGAAGACGTGCAAGGCAGACTATCACACAAAATTCAAAATTTGTCAAGGTTAAACCGTGACTAAATAAGATCTCTATTTATTTTGTCATGGTTAAACAGTGAATAATCTATCCTGGGCCTCCAAAAACTTGAAACAACTCTGATCCTAGGAAACTTATGAAAATAAGCTGAAAACAATTTTTAGACATGACATAAGTTGTTTTCATAAAATCTTTCAAACAGTTTCACATCTGTTTATGCAAATAGATAAGTTTAAATAAGTCAATTCGAACAGCTTTCTCACAAAAAGAATGCAACCGCAACTTAAAACCGTAACTTATATACTTACTTGCATTTGCAAGAACTTCTGATGAAACACCAGTTGCTGATTTATCTTGAACAATCTTTACTAACACTTCCTTTCTACTTTTCTTCATCAAACGAAATTTTTTACACACAAAAACTCCAAACACCAAAACCACAAGAACAAATCCAACAACAATAGCCACTAATGCTACCACTTTCAATATCCTGAATTTCTTCCATCTCGAACCGAAATCCTTACAATAAGAGCTTCTCTGCTGATTTTGAGCTTCAACAGATAAACAATTTCTACTATATCTAACAACTCTACCATCAGAACTATTCGCCAAACACGAAGGAAGTAAACCACTTAACTTGTTGCTAGAAATATCGACATAACCGAGTTTTCCACCACAATTGAGTTTATCAGAAAACTCACCACTAAGCACATTGTTTGCTAGATTCAAATAACTTAAATTTGACAGAGAAAACAACGTCGAAGGCGGCACACCCTCAAGACGATTCGACGAAAGGTCTAAATGTTGAAGGTGGTTCAATTCTCCAAACTTCTTCGGAATCTCTCCTGAAAACGAGTTATTGCTAAACAAAACCGTGACCACGGATTTCGGCAGACGCGGTAGGTCAAATTCGAAATGGTTTTCTCTCAAATCCAAAACATGCAAACCATTAAGAGAATTGAAACTAGGCAATTCACCGGATAGTTCGTTTTGCGAAAAAGAAATAACTTCGAGTTTCTTGATTTTGCATAGCGAAAATGGAAATGAACCCTTGAAATGATTTTTCTTCAAACTCAAGAAAGTTAGGTTAAACAAAGAATCAAACCAATTAGGCAAAGTGGAGTTGAAATAATTTTCATCAAGTGTTAGTGATTGAAGATTCACCATTGTTGAGATTTTTGGTGGAATGGAACCAAATAGGAAATTTGAACTCAAATCCAAAACTTGAAGCAAAGTAAAAGATTCATCAATCTTATTAGGAAGTTTCCCCCAAATCCCTAATGAAACCAAAGTAAGAACCTTTAGGGTTTTAAACTTTGTCAATGTGATGAAAAATGAATCAATTGAGAAATTCATGGATAGGGTTTGATTTGGAATTGCAAATCCATTGAAACTTGAGGAGGGTTTCAAAGATTTATCACCAAAAATTTTGAGCTCAATTATTGAATTATCTTCACATTTAATGCTCAAATTTGAAGATGAAGGAAGATAACAAAAATCAACATTGTAATTTTCCATAATTTGCAATGAAGAAGGAAACTCCAAAAACATTCTTAATTCTAACAAAGCTTGGTTTTGATCTTGTTCTAACTCATGACTATTTGAAATGAACAATAAACACAATAGAATCAAAAGATCAAAGTAAAAGTACTTCATTGAATCACAACTTGAAAAAAAATAAACTATGCACACAAGATATATCTATATCTGGTCGCAATTGCAGTTGCATACCGTAATTTAAAACTATGATCTTTCAAAGTTCAAAGATTTTTCAAATAACAACGTACATATAATTTCAAAAGGAAACTACTAGGAAGATAATTTTGTTACAAAAGTTGAAACATTGCATCAATGGTTATGGAAAATTTGATGTTTTTTAATGATGTGGTGAAGGAAGACAAGTGAAAATGTTGTACCATGGAAAAAGACAAAGGCATTTATTTTAGTTTTTGGGTACAAAGACAGAAGCATTTATATTAGAATTAATGGAGAATGCATAGTGGCCACAAATGGATAATGTAATAGTAACTATTGTTGCAGATAGATTCAACTCTTAAAATAGTACAGAATCAAAATGGACAAGTTAGTATAGCTTTTATTTTACTACGGAGAAAATTTATCTTTTAGAATAATTGAATAATGAATGTATCTTATCCCATAAATTAAATATATTGATTATTTAATTAATTAAAAAATAAATTTATGATTAAATGGAGTATTAAAATTGGAATCATAGTAAAGTTGGTAAGCCAATAATTTCTTAATAATAGAAAGAAGGGAAAAAACATGATCCATCATATTTTATGAATGACATTGAGAATTTCAAATCCAAGAAAAAGAAGACATTAACAAAAGAAGCAAACATTTGACCGTTAAAGGATGGAGTAATGGACAGGCTGTCGTGTAGTAGTATATGACATGACACCATGTGCTCTCTTTCAATTCCCATCAAAGTTTGAAATTCTCACTTTATTTTCTTTTTCTTTATTCTCATTTTGTCCTTTTCTTTTTCTTCTTTTGGTAAAGGCCCATTTTGATATCTAAAAAAAATATTTAGTTCAATTAAATTTTTTTTTTAATAAAAACAAATTTTCCCATAAAAAAAAACTTAATTGCATTGTAATATTTTTATATTTACATGAATATAGAATTGATCTCTTCATTGTAAAATTCATCGATTTTGATTTTTTCTTTAAACTTTTTTATTTTAAAGTAATGATGTGATATATTTTAAATAAAATCGGATGTGATTCACGCATGTTTCTTTTAGCTTTAAAAAATAGATTTTTTTTTTGTATTTTTTAAAAATGAGTTATTGTTCCACGTAAAATTTGGATGATTTTTTCAATCAGAATTGTATGTATATGAATAAAGATTATTCTTCTCAGAGTTTGCATATTGAACTTCAACACTAACCACCTTTATATAAAGTTTTCATTCCTATGTTCTTTTCCATATGAATGACACCTGAGTGTCTGGACCTAACTCACATTTGTCAGGATGAGTGTGAATGCATCTAACGATTTCAAAATAACTTCAAGTTGAGCTAATACTATTGTATTCGAATCTAATTCAACCACACCCGTTGGTTTAACTATTTGATCACTTGAACGATACTCATTCTGACACATTGTTTCAATGAGTTCTTTCACCTCATCTTCATTCTTAGTTTTTATGGTACCTCAAACTAAGGCATCCAAAATTATTTTCATTTGAGCTTTGAGACCTCTGATAAAATGTGGCATATCTTCCATGGAACTTATATTATGATTGGGACATCTTCGAAGTGACAATTTGAATCTTTCTCATGCATCAGACAATGACTCAGAATCAATTTGGCCAAAATTTTAAATTTTTTGCTTTCCTCTCTACAAGCTAAGCATTTGAGAAAAACTTCTCAAGAAATTTGTCTTTCAATTCCTTCCAAGTTTGAACAGTATTGTTTGGTATGCACTGCAACCAATCCTTTGATCCACTTATAATAGAAAAATCAATATTTTGATCTTCAGTCTCATAAAATTTAACCGAATGCTCCCAAGAATCTTTGATAGTTTTCCCATCGAACGAGTTGTCTCTCAAACTTGAAAGCACCAAATTTTTTTATACTAAATGTTATAGAGTTGGCCGATTGAAAACCTAAGGATATTTGTTCAGCATCAGTTCTCCTACAATAATCTTGGTGGATTAGCCACCTCTTTTATTTCTTATTCAAATTCTTATTTAGCTTGTTATACTTCTCTTCTTGCTTTTTGAATTGCTCATGTTATTCTTTTGATCTTTGAATCTAACAGTATTAGTATCGAACTCAAACCTCGCATAAATAAACAAACAATACCTCGATCAATAACACTACACCAGATATAGCTAAATAAGAAAAGAAAATAAAAATAACAATAACGAAAGAAAATTAAACGTCACACAAAAATTGTCTTGTCGAAATGATCAACAATCCTCTACAACGACACCAAAAACTTGATGACAAAACTAGCAAGTGAACTAATCGCGTCAGAATAATTAAATAAAGACCATTTTTATAGGGATTACGTATTTTAACAAGGTGAAATTCATGCTATTTGAAAAGTAAAATCAGAGGTTTTCTTAAAAGTATGTTGAAAAAGCTAAAACTTAAATGAACTTTCAGATGAGAAAACAATTAGGTCTTATTTGAATCCCTTAATTCTTCATTGTTGACGATTGTGCATTATTTAAATCAAAATGACTTTATACTTTTACAGCGAATTAAGAATGTTGTTGTACACAATCTTTGTTTACATCTCACTAGTTTGGACTATAATTGTCTAATTCCTTAGGCGAGTCGGGTAGTAAAATTAGGTGATATAAGTGCATTAATTCCTTAGTCTTATAATTCGATATCCCTAGTTAATTACTAAGTTGAACGATTACTTTATTTCATATCAGTAGAGTTATGGGCAATAATTCCTACTCATCTAAATTCACTTTGTGAGTTAGTCAAAACTTAAAGACCAATAACAACAAAAATAATTAAATATAAAATATATAATTAAATCATGCAAATAACATCAAACAATATCCAACAGAGTCAAATTAAGTTCATTTTCTAAAACTTAATAAAGAAAAATCTAGTTACTCATAGTAATACAAATAAATACAATGAGCTTAAATGAAGAGTACATAAAAATCAATGAAAATATGGTCTCCAATGACTCAAAACTCTAAAATATCTTGTTTTAGAACTCTTTGTCGTCACTTTCCACTCAAAAATTCACAACCCTTAAAAAAGTGGCTTATTTTTCCTTTTAAACAACAAAAAATGTGTCAGCCAAACGCTTCGTTGCGACTACGATATAAAGCATCACGATCCCGATAACTTTCCATTGCGACCAAGATAGAGGCATCGCGGTCATGATAATTCTTATAGCCAAAAATGCATATTTTGCTTACTTTTTGTTCTTTTTTTATTCAAAGTCCACAATTTCTTATCTTCTTATATTCTTCTTATTTCTTCTTCGCTTTATCTCATATTTTGTTTGAAATTTTATCGACTCTATAAAAAAAAACTTGTAAATATTATATAATAACATAGTTCAATTTTCGCCGATGTTCTTAGGTTTGAATAGGAATGAAATTGAAATTTTCTCAAAACCTTTGTCTTTAATTTCTTCACTCTTTGGTGATTTAATTGTTCTCTTTAAATAATTCCTAGTTCAATTTTAATCCATATAACTTCTTTTTTAATACTTTCTCTAACACACTCACGTGTCATGCTACGAGAAAGATTCAGTCAATATCACTACAAAATTCGGTCAACATTACTACAAAAATGTATTACTTTTTCCGTTTTATAATGAGTGATCCATTCGAAATAAAAGATTATCCTAAAATAAATGATTTATTTTAATTTTTAATGTATCTTTTTTAACTTTACCCTCTAATTAAATATTATTTTCATCATTTTCAATACATAATAAGGATACTTTAATAAAAATATCATTATCTCTCCTTTATTTATTCTTAATCTGATGAAAAGTCAACTGAATCACTCATTATAGAACCGAAAAAATAGATTGCATGGTTACAAATCTCTACATAGAATTGAAGATAAATGACATGTTTGACTGTTCAACCAACATCCTTCCATTTTCTCCTCACTCTTACGTGAATTCTCAAATACCCTCGTTCATGTCAAGTCCATCCATCCATGCACATATTATTATTAAGAATTGTATATCCATTCAACACTTTCTTCCCAAAAAACTTATCAAATCATATTCTGATTTGGGTTTTTTCAATTCTGCATACAATATGTTTGATCGATGTTCTCAGACAAAAACCACACTCGGTAATGCTATGATGGGTGCGCAGTTGTCCCTTGGTTCGAGTTGTTGCATTGCATTTAATATATTTTGCTGTTAAAACAAATAAATTGGGAAATTCTATGGTGAAGTTCTGTTAAAAAAATCACTTGAAATATGGCAGAGCCAACTCATTGGTGTTTAATCATAACATTGGCTTGTTGCTGATTTCATTTCTTGTCCATGTTATCATTATATATGGTTTACCTTGTTGTTCTATTGATTGCAAATTTAATTATGAATTTTTCTATAAATGTGGAGCTCAGTGGAATGATAAAAAGACAACATGTTCCCATCATAGCATTATAGAGTCTGGTTTCTCTAATGAGGACATTGATCAAACACCTTTATGCATAATTGAAAAAATCCAAATGAGAATATGATTTGATAAGTTTTGTGGCAAGAAAATGGTGAAATGATATACAATTCCTAATAATTTGTACACGGATTGGACTTGACATGGATGATGGTATTCAAGAATTCACTTAAGAGTGAGGAAATGAAAAGAGGTTGGTTGAATACTGAAGCATGTCTCTTCTCTTCAATTCTACGTACTTAACAATTAGGCTTATAACTCCATAATTTAACTCGTTTTTGGAGTGATGTTGACAAAACTTTTGTATGGCATGTCACATCAGTTATCATCAGAAGAAGTAGACACTATGAATTAAAATTATAAATGGAAAATTTTTCTAAGACCATTTTTTAAAGGAAATTTTTTATAGAGATTAAAATTGAGTTATAGATTATTTAAAAGAACGAAAAGCATATTTAACTCTATTATTATTATTATTATTATTATTATTATTATTATTATTATTA